CGGATAAGCGGAGGAAAATGGATGGATGGATGTATGGCATCTTACTACAACTCTTGAACAATCTAGAAAATCGCTGTACCTCACTGTAGTTTTTCCTGTTTCCTCTGGCTAGAACAATGTCCATTGCATCAGGCATGATATGGGTCAAAGTCTTGTCATCCTCCCAGGCTTTGATGTAAGATTTCTAAAAAACAAAATGCAGCTGGTTTAATTTTATAAACAAATAACAGAAGAGATATTTATGTTAATTTCATGTCAAGTCCTATCTAGTACCTTATCCATAATCTGGTTGTTCACAGTGGCCAGTGCCAGATCCATGGAATGCATATCCTTGGTGAATTTGAAGTTGCTAGGATGTTGACGGTATTGTTTCTCGCTGAAGATCTGACCAGCTGTTTTTGCTTTCTCAACATCCAGCGATCCGATAGGAATCCATCCTATTCCTTTCATGAAGCTTTCATACTCACTCTTGTACTGATTCTGATGGAGAACATCAACAGAAACAGTATTCCTTCACATTGCAGCACTGTAACCGTAACATTAATGTACACCTTTGAATTTAGCTATATCTATATCTATAATCTATAAATGAACAATCTTAAAATGATTAAGTCACATTCTCTACATACATCACTGGCAATGAAGTGCATGTTACGAGCCAGCTGCAGGTTCATGGCATCAGGCAGCACAGTGTAGTGGGGATTAAACTGCCTGTATCCAATCATAGTTTGAGCAGCAGAGGTCTTCTTGGCTTGGACCACACTCATCATGTCCACAGGAGAGTGATACTTCAGTTTGGACTCGTGGTAGTCCTTCTTGTAGTTCCTGTCACTCTGCATTCTGGCTACTTGCATGTAGTGAACCAGCAAAGGATCATCCTGGAAGCTGCGGAAGCCAACATGGTGGCCTCTGGCCTTTTCATATGCCAGCTTGTACTTATACTGTGACAGCAAACACACACCTTGTCATACACAGACTGTGCTGTTTTATAATATGAATTTTAGCAGATGCATTTCATACATGAAGTATTTTTTATTTTACAACTTACATTACTGGCAATAGTGGTACCAGCCTTGGCAGCCACAATTGGGATGGCATCTGCTTTTAGGTTGTAGCCCTTATTTGCCATCTCCACAACACCAGATTTGTAAAGTTTCTGTAAAAGATATGAGTAAAATTTCACAAAGAATTATGTACAAACACAAACTGATCATTATTAACCATGTACAATTAACTCCTCAGTGATCCTCTTACATTACTCATTGTGAGAGCATTAGCCTTGGCCAGGAGAATCTCAGGAGAATCTGGCATGATGTGGACTTTCAGTTTGTCTGTCTCCCAAGCTGCCGTGTATGCTTTCTGTAAGCAAAGACATCACAAAAACAAATGAATGATGATGATGGCTATGAACAAGATTAAGACTTTTCTAGCCCCTAATTTAGAATACAGTTAAACAGCCTGCATATCCATAATCTGGTTGTTCACCGTGGCCAGTGCCAGATCCATGGAATGCATATCCTTGGTGAATTTGAAGTTGCTAGGATGTTGACGGTATTGTTTCTCGCTGAAGATCTGACCAGCTGTTTTTGCTTTCTCAACATCCAGCGATCCGATAGGAATCCATCCTATTCCTTTCATGAAGCTTTCATACTCACTCTTGTACTGATTCTGATGGAGAACATCAACAGAAACAGTATTCCTTCACATTGCAGCACTGTAACCGTAACATTAATGTACACCTTTGAATTTAGCTATATCTATATCTATAATCTATAAATGAACAATCTTAAAATGATTAAGTCACATTCTCTACATACATCACTGGCAATGAAGTGCATGTTACGAGCCAGCTGCAGGTTCATGGCATCAGGCAGCACAGTGTAGTGGGGATTAAACTGCCTGTATCCAATCATAGTTTGAGCAGCAGAGGTCTTCTTGGCTTGGACCACACTCATCATGTCCACAGGAGAGTGATACTTCAGTTTGGACTCGTGGTAGTCCTTCTTGTAGTTCCTGTCACTCTGGATTCTGGCTACTTGCATGTAGTGAACCAGCAAAGGATCATCCTGGAGGCTGCGGAAGCCAACATGGTGGCCTCTGGCCTTCTCATAAGCCAGTTTGTACTTGTACTGCAACAATAATTAAACACTTGTTTACCAGGTATGATGGGGTGTTGTAGTTAACATCTTGATTTGGTACAGGAATTTGTCTCCAACTTACATTACTGGCAATGGTAGTACCAGCCTTGGCAGCCACAATGGGTATGGCATCTGCTTTGAGGTTGTAGCCTTTATTGGCCATCTCCACAAGACCAGATTTGTAAAGTTTCTGTGAAACATATACATTTATTTGAAATACTTAAACAAAAATAAGTAAAATAATTATATATACATTTTGTAATGTACAGTAATGGTACTCATTGTGAGAGCATTAGCCTTGGCCAGGAGAATCTCAGGAGAATCTGGCATGATGTGGACTTTCAGTTTGTCTGCCTCCCATGCTGCAGTGTATGCTTTCTATAAATGAAGACACCATATAAACAAATACATTATTAAGCTAATGAACAAATTTATTATTTAAATGTTGTGACCTTGCATTATATTTCTAAATATGCTTCACCTTGTCCATGATCTGGTTGTTGGCAGTAGATAGAGCTATGTCCATGGAGTCCATCAGCTTACTGAACTTGAAGTTGGATGGATGAGTGCGGTAATTATTGTCACTCAGAATCTGACCACCAACTTTAGCAGTCTCAACTGCAAGTGAGCCAATAGGCATCCATCCAATACCTTTGATGTAGTTATTCCATTCAGATTTGTAGTCCAGCTAAAAAAGATATTTAAGACCTCATAAATCAAGAAATCATACTACAATTAATAATTGTTATCTGCTTTTATAAATGGATACAATTACAGTATAACAGTATATACAATTACAGTAACCTAGCAGATATGTTAACATTTCAAACTCACATCACTTGAACGGGCACTCGCATTGCGAGCCAACACTAGGTTCATGGCATCAGGGAGAAGAACGTAACTGTGCTGGATCTGTCTATATCCAGTCATAGTCTGAGCAGCAGAGGCCTTCTTGGCTTGGACCACACTCATCATGTCCACTGGGGTGTGATACTTCAGTTTGGACTGGTGGTAGTCCTTCTTGTAGTTCCTGTCACTCTGGATTTTTGCTACATGCATGTAGTGAACCAACAGAGGATCATCCTGGAGGCTGCGGAAGCCAACATGGTGGCCTCTGGCCTTCTCAAACTCTTTCTTGTATTGGACCTAAAACAAAAAGAAAAAGATATAAGTTACATGCAGATAATGATGAACATATTCTGTGTTGAATAGATTTATAATGTACATACATTGCTGGCAATATGTCTGCCGTGCTTGGCATGCACGATAGGAATAGCATCAGGCTTCATGTCATATCCCTTTGCAATATCTTCCAGCCACTGGTGCTTGTAGTGACTCTGTGAATAAACAACAAAGTGTTATGACAATGTTCTGTACACAGATGATACTGATATACTCTTCACATTTTAAGCAAGTCATACTCCTTTGACTTGCATATTTGGCTGATAATACCATGTCTTACTTTGAGTTTTAATAAGTATATTGTGCTCTAACCTCACTAAGGGTCTGGGCATTGAATTTAGCCTGGAGCAACTGAGGGATGTCGGGGGGCAGATGATAGGAGTGCATGAACTCCTCACCAGAAGCTCTGTATGTAGCCTAGAGGAAAGAAAAGGAACAAGTAATATTTATGAAGTACTTGTAGGGGAGGCTTTCCTCTGCTGTGCATTAATATGTCAACATATTATAAGAGAAGGCATTCTTACTTTGTCCAGCAGCTTTGTGTTGGCCAGAGCAAGAGCTGTGTTCATGGCATCGGCCTTGCTTGTAAATTTAAAAGTACTGGGATGCTGGCGGTAGCCTCTTTCATCCAGGGCAGCTTTAGCAGCTTTGGCCTTCTCAACATCCAGAGAACCAATAGGGAGCCATCCTGACCCTTTATAGTAATTGGTGTAGTCTGACTTGTAGAGATTCTGTGGGCATACAGAGAAGAGCTTATGCTCACCACAGTGAACATTGCTTTGCTTCTGTGTACAGTATGCAATCCATTTACTGATTATACTAGCCAAGGTAGCATGTGGGAAAAGTAAAACCATACATCACTCTGAATCTCCATCATGCTGCGACACCGCTGCAGGTGCAGATTGTCAGGCAGAAGCAAGAAGCTGTGAGGAATATTCTTGTATCCAATCATAGTCTGAGCAGCAGAGGCCTTCTTGGCTTGGACCACACTCATCATGTCCACTGGGGAGTGATACTTCAGTTTGGCCTGGTGGTAGTCCTGCTTGTAGTTCCTGTCACTCTGCATTCTGGCTACTTGCATGTAGTGAACCAACAGAGGATCGTCCTGGAGGCTGCGGAAGCCAACATGATGGCCTTTGGCCTTCTCGTAAGCCAGTTTGTACTTGTACTGTATTAAAGAAAAATGTTAGGTATGATGGATAACACTATAAAATGCTGTATTATTTGAAAAGATTTATTAATATTAACAATATATCAGAATAATCACAACTTACCATACTGGCAATGTCTCTTGAAGTTCTTGCAGCAACAACAGGAATAGCATCTTCCTTCACATGATGTCCTTTGAGAATATCTTGACGATGAGCATAGGTGTAGTAATTCTATTTAAAAAGATTGAGTGTTATTGTTACAAAACTTGTAAATTAATTTTCTATATAAATGTATGCTGCAACTAACCTGGCTGATGTTGGCAGCATTGTATCTGGCTTGCATCAGTTCAGGGGTATCAGGAGGGAGATGGTAAGTGTGCTTGAATTTCTCTCCACTGGCCTTGTACTCTTTCTGCATAATTACAATGAGACTGGTTTACATCTATTATGAAAAGGAATTTATAGACTAGAATAATAAGATTTATATTAGAGCAAATTAAGAAGTCATTATGGTTTCTCATCCTCACCACATTCATAATCTTGGCATTGGCCTTGGCCAGCTCCATGCTCATGGAGTCAGGGATACTGGTGAATTTAAAGGTGTCAGGATGCTGGCGGTACGTTTTCTCATCTAGAGCTGCAGCTGCTGCCTTGGCTTTTTCCACATCCAGGGAACCAATGGGAACCCAGCCAATTCCCTTAATGCATGTGTCATAATCCATTTTATAATTGCGCTGGAAAATAAAAGTGACACCAAAAAAGATATGCAATAATTCATTAGACCTAATACCATCTTTTAGCCAAGATATAAATTATTTATATGAATTATGTCACAAATTTCAGGCAAAAAGGACAATTTCAGCTTACGTCACTGGAATTGTAGTTCATATTGCGAGCAAGTTCCAAACCCACAGCATCAGGCAGAAGACGGTAATCATGGAGGTACTGCCTATAGCCAATGTAGGTCTGCACTGCTGAGGCATGTTTGGCGTGAGCCACACTCAACATGTCCACTGGGGAGTGGAACTTCACTTTGGCCTGGTGGTAGTCCTTCTTATAGTTCCTGTCACTCTGAATCCTAGCGACATGCATGTAGTGAACCAGCAGAGGATCGTCCTGGAGGCTGCGGAAACCAACATGATGGCCTTTGTCCTTCTCATAAGCTTTTTTATACTGTACCTAAAGGTTAAAGAACAAAACACATCTCTAGTTATTTACAGTGGCATGATATAATACAGCAACAAGAACAGAAACCTGGTACAGGGCAAGTCAAGATGGAGTTTGAACATGACTGAGAAGTTGGATCAGTCTTTCAGAAAACGTACATTACTGGCAGCATGTCTGGCAGCTTTAGCAGCGACGATAGGGATGGCATCAGCCTTCAAGTCATAACCTTTAGCAATGTCGTCCTCCCAGGCAAGCTTATAGTAGTTCTGAAATGACAGATTACACATATAAACAACAAGCAAAAGATATGAACACTGAATACATTCAGCAGTACAGATATATACATATGCATTTTTGTACCTACAGTATACGTTAGCATGCTATATGCAGCTGCATAAATGTGTAATGTATATAACATAACATTTAGGAGCAAATGCATTTAAATGATTTCTCAGTATCTGTATGCATCACCTTGCTGAAGTTGTAGGCATTGCACTTGGCCTGAAGGAGCTCGGGGGTATCAGGAGGCAAAGAGTACTTGTGATGAATCTCCTCAAGACCACGCTTGTAGAACCGCTGTAAGGAAAGAAGGCAGTACAGGCAAAAGCCACATGTGCTGGACTTACATAAAAATAAGAACCAAAATCACTCATCTTAAAATTGACCTTAGCAAAATGTGCAGATTTCTCTGCAGAACAGTGAGAAGTGGCGGTAGACTTACATCACTCCTCTGAAGCTGGTTTACTCTGGCCTGCAGCATGATGGGGTGGTCATCAATAGATGTAAAGGGGATTGTGTCGGGGTGTTGTCTGTATTTTTTCTGTAAGAAACAAATACATTATTACATTATGTGACTTATCCTACCAACCATCAAATACTGTATGTATGTTCAATGTCAGGAGGGCATTTGTACAGAGGGGAAACGTGTGTACAGGAAGACTGAAGCAATACTATTACATAATTACCTCATCGAGGATCTCGCCAGCTCTCTTAGCCTTTTCCACCTCCATGGAACCAAAGGGGAACCATGGGGTACCCTTACAGTAGGTGTTGTAGTCAGACTTGTAGTCAATCTGTGATGGAGAAAAGCAAACAAAAAATGTCAAATGGTGTCACTGATTACACAATAAATCTTACAAAGATATGCAGATTTCATACTATGATTAAAGCCACAACACAAACTGTCAGTAATAAGACCTTGCACAGTATGTCTATGCTTACGTCGCTCTGGATGATGTTGGCTCTCTTAGCCTGATTCAGCTGCACACTGTCATAGGGAAGGAAGTATTTGTTACCGATGCTCCTATACCCAATCATGCTCGAAACCTCCTGGGACTTCTTGGCCGAGGTGACCGACACCATATCCAGTGGTGTATGGTACTTGGTCTTTGTCTTTTCATAGTCCTTTTTATATTCACGCTGTGGAGACATCAGTCAGTAAGTAGTATGAGTAAGACAAACAGGCTACAAAGTGCTTCACAATAAAATCATTAAACAATAATGATAGTAACAAAGTTACATTTACAAAACAAATAAAATCAATACAAACAGCAAAATCAATTTTACAAAGTGGCAAATATCAGTTTAAAGAAAGTGAGAAAATACAAAAAAGCTTTACTGTAAGATGCTTTTAGATTCAATAAGAAACTGGTGAAGAATGTGTTAAGTTATTTATCTCAACAGCAAACTGATGGCTTACATCACTCTGGATTTTAGCCACGTGAACGGAGTGCATGATCTTGGGATCGTCATTAATGCTGAGGGCTCCAACCATTTGACCCTTGTTCATCTCATATTCCTTTTTATATTTAACCTACAATGAAGAGCAAAAGGTGGTTGATTAATGGCTTTGTTAAAAAGCACTGACTGCTAAAATGAACTGAAAAACAAATCAAGAAAGAAATGTATGCAATCCATAAGGCTGATACTGTAGCTTACTTACATCACTGGCAATGTTTGTGTGAGCACGGGCGGCGAGGATCGGGATGGCATCACCTGTCATCTCATACTCTTTTGCTTTAATTTGCTCCCAATCATACTTATAACAGTTCTGCAAGGGGAAAATCACAACATTTGGAAAATGAAAAACATATGACAGCAATTCAGTTTCAGTGATTGTTAGATATGAAGGGTAGAGTAATTTACACAGAACAGATACTTACATCACTGAGGTTAAAAGCGTTAACTCTGGACTGCATGAAGAAGGGATAGTCTGGGGGCAGAGTGCACTTGAACTTTGTTTCCTCATACTTTGCCTTGTAGTTCATCTGGAACACGAACAAAGTGGTAAAATTATATTTTATTCAAAACTCCTGATTTCTTTCACGGTTCATGTAGAATTGCTCACCGTGCAATTGCAGTCATTTCAAAACACAAAAGTAAAGTGTTATTTGATTTTCTGTCACTGGAGGGCAGCAGTGTACTAGCGGGACCCTGAGACAGAACGACTGCCCCTTCCTCTACCTCCTCAGCCCCTCTCTGATCACAGGGTTTATTCTGGGTGAACTGAATGCTCATTGCTATTTATACTACAGAGGAATGGCTCTCCAGTTTCCATGGTGCCTACAGAAAGACAGCTGGGCTACGTGGATGATTGGGCACATTTTCAGGTGATCTGCATATCTGGGAGAATCTGATCTAGTGCTGATGATTGTAGCAATGTATCAATAAATAGACGATAGGAAAATAATAACTCTCACAACACTTAGAGTTTACAGTTTTTAGGATTTATTTGAAATTCAAATTATATCACTATTGTACAAGATTTGATTATTACCATTTAAAGCTTTGCATAATGTCGCTCCTGTGTACATCATTGAATTGATCAGAACTGTATCAGCTGGACAACGGCAGGTGCCAAGTTTTAACTTAAGTACAACAGGTGCTAGAGCTTTATCTAAGGTTGCACTTAGGCTTTGGAACAGATCGATATCCCTATTATGATTTGTCAATGTACTATTGTCTCTGAATTTAAGAGACTAAAACATACAGAGCACTGATTATGGCATAAAATTACTGCTGTGTCATTTTGTCATGTAGTGTTATTTGTGGGTATTTTATATTGTTTATTTATTCATAGGGATGTTTTATGCTAACCTTTATTCTGTTGTATTGTATATTTGATTGCCTTTTTTGTAAGGTGCCCTACAAATAAAATGTATTATTATTGTTGTTAATATTATATAATTATGCAGTGTTAATCTGGTTTGTGTAAGATAATATGTGCAATTTATACCTCAGTGCATTCTGTATCAGTGCTAAGAGGAGATGGTTCATACATGGTTCATACATGGTACATACGTCACTTAGCTGATGGGCGTTGATGGCAGCTTGAACCTGAACTGGCGAATCCACCACCTGAGTAAATTTCACTGTGTCTGGATGTTGCCGGTAAATTTTCTGCAAACCGTAAGAGAGAAAAGTTACGTCACAAGCATACAAGTATACTACAAGAACAGTAAAGTGAATCTGTTTTACTGGAAAGAATGATGTTATTAGCTAAGGCCACTCACATCACTACACTCTTGAAGCTTCTTGGTAGCTTCATATTCAGCCGTAATTGTTTGAGGGAAGAAGCAACTTGTTTTCATGTCGTCATAATCAGCTTTATAATTTTTCTGCAAAATATAAATATGCAAGTTGTGGGGAAAATATTATGAAGAATAGAATATCTTTTCACACCAGTAATTTCATTTGGAAATGGAAAGAAAAAGCCACAGTGACTTACATCGCTCTTCATTTCCTCAACTTTCTGGCAGTGCAGCGTATAGAGATCTTCATAGCTACCAATGTAGTGGCCCTTCACCTCATTGTCATACTTATTCTTGTAATTTGTCTAGAAAGACAAATAAAAACATTCATATTAAAAACACTAACCCAATAATATAACTGTTTCTGATTAAAAAAGGATTTTGTCTCCTAGTTTGCACTTACATCATTGAACTGTTTAAGTACTGAGTCCATCTGAAACTTGGGCGTCTCACAGTAGTTGATGCTGGAACCCCTGGTTTGCTCATATTCAGCCTTATATACTTTCTGCAAAAAAAGATTTAAAAATAATTTTCAAATTCATACAAGTAACATCTCTGTCTACACAGGAAACAGACACTGAAGGTACGACTGAACAGTTCTTTCTGCACAGGGTTCTGCAGACACACACATCACTGAGGATGGAGCCAGCGTATCTGAGCTGTCTGAGGAGAGGATTCTCTGTAGCAGGGAGGGTGTTGTATTCAGCCTCTGACTTTGTATCCTCATATGCCTTCTTGTATTGGACCTACAGACAGAAACATGGAGATTAGGGTGAGTAAGAAGAGAACAATGTGCGTTGATCAGGTGTATTCAGAGAGTTGATACACTGACTCATATAATGCTAGACTGGTACACTCAGTTCTAATGGAGCAACACGTGTGCCTTTACAGTTTCCTAAAATTAGGCATGTTTGCATTGTGTCAACATGTGGGTGGGCTATGAGGTATGCAGTAGCTGAAAAGCCTCTTCAAATACTTTGATATGTTGTTACTGGGAACCAGTGAAACTACACAGTGACAATGAACCAAATGTAGATCTCCCAGTCATGCCGTGCCTGTGTGGGCACAACATGGAGTGACCCTGCGTCAGAGAGGACTCATTGTGTTGACTCATACTCTGCTCTGAGACATGGGTCAACTCCCTGTCGTGTCTTCCATATGAGCGTGTACCTAAAAAAAAATAATACTCCAAACCCTTTGTGTGTGTGTTTGTGTGGACTTGCCTCACTAGCAGCAATACCAGCTTTCTTGTGTGTGTCGTACACAGGTGTTTCTGTTTGCATGAAATAAATTTGGTCTTTTGTATCCTCATATTCTTGCATGTATTTTTTCTGAAAAGAAAAGGGGTAAACTGTTAGATACAGAGAAATGACAAAATAATACCATACTAAACATCATGTCCTTTTTGTAAAAGCAAGCTCACTTTGCTGAGGTTGTCCATCGCCATCCTGGCAACGGCCACATCAAAGTACGGCGTCTCACACCATTGACCCTTCACAGTTTTGTTGTAGTCTTCCTTGTACTTTAGCTGTGGGAATTACCATCAGAAAAGATATTTTTAAAAAAGGAAAGAAGACAAAGCAATGCATAAAGGATAGCAGGATAATGCTATTGTATAGATACATGTATGTGTTTGACAAAACATTTTGGGAATGACAAGAATCTTTCTAAACCTATTGTTAGCCTCTCCCTTTGAGCTTAGTGTGGTCAATAATATCAGACAGCAGGTGGCCAGTTATCCCTAGCATGAGGCTGCTTGGTCTCTGAGGGCACTGTTTCCATGTAGGCCTGCTGTGCAAGTTGGAGCCACTAAAATGTCATTTTCCCAAGAAGCATTGAGGTTTACCACTATGGCCCCATTTGGCATAATGATGACTCACCATGAACCTAATCAATCCCCAGTATGAAGCAGATAATGTACAACAATGGACTGCTCCTAATTCCACCATTTCCAAATGTACTGTGGGGGAACACAAAACCTCAAACTACAAATATACCAAAGTGTGTTGCCACACCCACTGCAAACTGTCCATGGTGCACCTCACTGTGATCTGGACTCTTGGTAATAGAACACAGGGGCCTGGGAGTGTATGAAAACACTGTAAGCACTATTATTATTATTATTATTATTATGCCTTGTGCTGAATATTGATTTCAGTAAGCATTACTTAGGTTTAATTGCCCAACTGAACTTGAAATAAGATGAAGAAAAGGTGTAAATTCATCACTTTGTCTACTTCTATTCTTTATATTCTTTTATTACATTTGATTTCGCTTGCTGTTTTTAAGTGCCTTTAGACTTTGTGTATGATTTATCTACCTTATATTTCACCTTGCATTGCGTGGCATTCATTGTGGACAGCAAAGTAAGAATTTCATTGTACAGGGAAACACATCTCCTCACTATGCACATGACAAACACAGTCTTGAGTCTCTGTCTTCTTGTTTATTTGACATTTATACAGTGTGTTTGAGAGCCAGTTTGAAATTGTTTTGCTTACATCACTGTACTGTTGGCCCACTTTTTTGGCCAGCTCCACTTCAGGAGGATCAGCCAAGGAGGTATACTTGGCCTTACGCTCATTGTGACCCTTCTTGTACTGAACCTGCAGGAGCACACAGAGTTAAAACAGTACGTCAGGCTCAGCGCAAACAAACGGGCCCTGAAAAAGAGAACACCTGCTCTACAAGTGACTGATGCTGAATCGTCCAGCAAAGTCAATATAAGCCATGAACATCTGGTGAATTTTAAAAACCACACACAGTCATGACTCTCTATTAAATAATCCAGGAAAGTTGCCAAGTGGCTTGAAGCCAAAGTTAATCACATTTTTAACGAATTAACCATGTGTTAGATATTCAACATTGTTTTATATTAGAACCCAGTAAGAAACAGCACAAAATAACAGGTACAGGAAAAATCTCTTGGGGTAAAAAAAAAACCCTTTACTGTATCTGATGCCATTTACTTTTATAATATTGATATAGTATATTTCTTAGAAAACTAATTTAGATAACTTAACCAAGGGAAAATGTCTGTGTTCAGCTAGTGCCCAGTATCCTTACATTCCAACATTGTAGCTGTTCTCAGTGATTTGCACTGAGAACACTGATTATTATGGCCAAGTGCAATGTGCCACAGTATAAACTATATGAACAATGTCTTAGTTTCTACTGAATTAGTGGCCAACCTGGAGTTGCTAAGAGTTATTTACCAGAACAAAAGCATGTCCCAATCCAGTCTTCTTTCACCTTTCAAACACTCAACTATCCAAAATCTGAGATTTTAGACAACATGAACTTTCATGCAGTTGAGAACTGGGTGTTGATATTAAAATCAGCTTACATCACTGAGAGCCTCCTGAGCCTTGGCCACTCTTTGCAGTTCAGGGCTGTCAATGTAAGGGCAGAACATGACCTTCTCTTCATCCCAGTCCTCGGTGTAACGTTTCTGAACAAGCCAGAAAGTCATGATTTAATCCAAGCATGTCAAATATTTAAACAGATACTCACTATGGTTAATCCAACAATAGGATACTATTTAATATCAGCAAAAATTCTCTGTGTGGTGAGAAAACTCAATGCCTGAATACCATCATGGGCTTACTTTGCTGAAGTTAGCAGCATTCTTCACAGCCTGAACCAGCTCAGGAGAATCAGGAGGCAGATGGTAGCGGTCTTTAGTCTCATCCCACTGCTGTCTGTACAGAACCTACAAGGGAAAAGCAACAACACTGGTGTTAAACAGTCAGAAACAAACACTCTAATCCTTTTAAAACCTTTGTTTATTGTTCATTTAGGTAACTCACCTTGCTGACCAATTCAGATACATGCTTGGCATGGGTGATGTCTCTAGCCTCACCATCATACATGCTTGTTGTCCGAGCCTTGTTTCCCTCCATGCGGTATTTAACCTGATGACGATGCATATTTATTTTAATCTTTACCTGTTTTTTTTATACATCTATTCCTGATGATAGAACTGTTCAGTTAAGTCATTTTGAACCAGAAAGCTTCCAACCCTCATTCTTAAATATAATTTGGGGGACAGTATCACCACAATCTTCAGCAGTACCTCGCTAAGCTGGTCCTGGGCCCTCCTGATGCGATTCAGTTCAGGGGTATCAACAGTGATGGCAGGGGGTGTGCCTCTGGACACGTCATAAGCATGCCGGTACTTGTTCTGTAGAGCGATCATTGAAATGAGCACAATAGTCATAATCCACTGCAACCACTAACAATATCATATATGGAGTAGAAGTAAAGCTTAAATGCAGTAAATCACAAATATATTTATGTTGGTAAATGCAGTAAATCACAAATATATTTACTGTATGTTGATGTTTTAAAGGCATTTTTAAATACATTTCAACAAGCAGAAAAACTAGGTACTAACTAAGTACTAATCTTGACTCAAAAGCTAAACTTGTTTCTTACGTGGCTGAACTGATCCAGCATCTTATGGCTGTGGGCCAGATAAGGAGTCATGAACTTTGAGGTATCCACCTTGACCTTCTTCCTGACTTTCCTGGTGGGCAAGTCAGACTGAAGGAGGACAGAAGGAAACACAGTTAACTAGCCAACTAACAAAGGGCCTAGGTTCCTTGATGACAGGACATATATTAGCCAGGAAGGTACTATACATCCACAGCTACAACAGAGCTACAACAAGCCTATCATCACAGACACACAGATGTAAAAATGATTATCTAAAAGATAACTGGAATGTAAATTTCTTGGTAATATAATGGTCTGACGTTGTCACGGTGAAGAGAAAATTCTGCTAATGTCAGTCTGCACTACACCCATTACTCTTATTACTCACCTTCGATAACCAAAGTCCTTCAAGTCAAGACTTAAGGAGATATAAAGCACTATTTTATTCTACATGAGATTCGTTGAGTTAGATAGCATTATTATGTACTAAGACAATGCTGGATGAAGGGTGACTGAAGGGCCGAACAAAACAAGACAAGCAAAAGGGAAAAGAGCTACGCCTACAGTAGCTGCAAGTGCATTGTGCTGCATGCAATGTCAGGCTCAGCAACATGTATAAATGAAGGTGACAAATTTCATTTTAATTGGGCGGCAAAGCCACAGACAACCAACTTACAAACAAAATGTATTGCCCAAAAAGCAGCCAACAGTAAACTGCTGAAAATGACATTAATGCCCATGCAGTTCTATCTGACTCCTAACTGTTTCTGACCTTTAAAGCTCTAACATACAGTAGAGTATACGCCTCCCATAACCAAAGACACTAGGCCTTCAGTGAAATAACCAGACATGCAGACAGGGAGATGCACCACTGTCAAGACAAGCAAGGGATATCCTGCACTGTTTGAACTGTTGCCTCTTGGGAGGAGGTGCTTTACCTGTAGGTACTGAGTCTTGTGCTCAGTCACAGTCCCCGATGTAATCTGCTCAACATATTACAAATATAGGACATACTCTGGAGTTTCAAAACTGCCAGAAAATGTTACGGGAGAAACAGCACAGTAATTTGATTCGATTGAGGGTGATTTTTCCACAGCTCTGGTGCTTTTAATTCCTGCCATTGACACTTCCAGTATAACAAGTAGGAAATCACACTACACTGCATCACATTAGTAGCTATTAGTCCATCTGCTGCATGAATACAGAGAGCATTGTCCTCAGAGATCTGTCTAAACCTGTAATCAAGGGATTCCTTCTCCATTCAAAAAGTAAAGATAAAACTCTCAGGTGGTTATTCTGTAAATGTTTATTTAAGCCTGTATTCTACAGAAGAGAAGCAATAATATCCTGTGTGATATGTGAACCTGACCGCTGTCCATCGTTGATCCTCTGACCAAGTCTATAAACACCAGGCGTTCACATGACAATAATTCTATTCTTATTTGTTTTTCATAGCCCATAGATCATGTCATCGCCACGTCTGCTCACACAGGTCCCATGAGTTTACAGGACTGGTTTGCTCAAATTACAAACACATATTTTCTAACTTACCTCTCTTAATACCTAGCCATGTCTTACTTTAATACATGTGTCTCTAAGTTCTCTGCCTTCACTCCAGTACAGTGGTGCTCACAACACAGAGGACTAGCATCCAAACATTCAACAGTGACTTGACTTTAAATAATCTTTAGAACAAAAGCTGTAAACATTTTTCTTAGGAGGTACTTCTGAAGAAATATTCCTACAAAATGACTGTTGATAGTTGTTTCTGTGGAATTATCTGCAGTAAAAGTTGCACTTCTGGTTAGATGCTAAACTGTATTTCGTTGCCTTGTACTTGTACATGGGTAATGACAATAAAGTTGAATCTAATCTAATCTAAAAGTTAAGCTGTTTCTGGACAGAGACATCACTGCTTAAGTATTTTAACTGTGCTCTTCAGCACTGTGAGCGCCAAGTGCAATCCTAGTCACCTATACTGTATTTGAGTGGAAGGAGACATTTCAGAGCTAACTAACCCAAAATCTGGGCATTTAACAAAACGTTTCTGCACCTTAAGTAAAAGAGAAAACATATATATATGTTTTCCTAATTTGGGGGAAAAAAACCATCCATTTAAAGGGAAGTTGGATGGTTAATAAAGTTTCACTATTCCAGTCAAACACCTCAAGCTACAGTAACTGACAATATCCCTACACTTAGCATAATGTTCCATGAATAGCATGTCTACTTGCAGTCTGAATTACACTTGCCTCTACCCAGGAAGTATCACAGGGAAACATTTAAAGGCACACTTGGGATAGATAGTTTTGGAAGCTAACCACTAATCCTAATCCATCAGATAGCAGGAGCAGCCAGAGCTGAGAGAAAGAACATCTCAATCACTTTGATTAACATTTGTAAGAAGCTTCACTATGTGAATCTATCAGACAGGAGAGAATCAGAGGTGTAGATGGAACACTAAACCACCACATCGCACATCCTCACACAGCAATGCAAAGACAACCTCTCTCTACCCCCAATCGATCACTTTTTCCATGCATCGACCTCTCAAGCAAATTTCTAGACCTGTGACGCTAACAGCTCAGTGTGATTTAGAACACAGCGGCTCGTCTCACTAGGCCCTCTCTCTCTTGCTTTCTCTATCTTTACTTCTCTCTCTACTCCATCTCTCTGCCAAGGGGCCAGAGATGTCCACTTCTAAATTTGTCTGAATGCCTTCTACACTCCACCCTTTAATGACATGACCAGAGGAATTAAGCACATTATTAAGGTAAGATGAAGAAAGAGGTCTTTCTATATTCTAATATTGTCTGTTTTTAGCTCTATGCATATTTTCATATATGATGTGAACAGCACTATGCTTCTCCCCATTCTGTAGATTAAATAAGAAGCTGGCTTACTATTTACTGAAAACAATGCAACTTTTCTCCACAGTGTAGATGAAAGTGCTAGTGAAATCAGAGTGTATTGATTCTGTGGGTATTCATCCGCCCCACCTCCCAAACGATTTACATCTTTGCAGTAAAGATGGTAAATCCATTTGAAACACCTGATATGTTATATGAGAGGTAAATGACAACTGATGTGCAGCCAAAAACAATCATTCAGACTCCCCTATAAGATATCAGCAATACTAAGTATGAATACAAGGCTAGTTTTAATCCGATTTCACCAGGAAATATGGGATTAAATTCTTAGCCTTCTGTTTTCACTCTTCCATTGGACACTGACATGGAAACCTTCAACATTATAATTCATACACAGAATGAACATAAATGACATGATTGGTGTAAACAGTGATGAAGAATTTCAACAGGTTTGAGACAAAAGACAAAAAGTGGCACAGAGTGGGGGGGGGGGGGGTACAAGAAAATTAGCCAGTAAAATATTCTGCTTTAACTTTGAAATAGTAACAATTTATAGTTGGTCATTAGGATCAGTCCAGGACTCAAAACCCATCAGAAGGTGTCTGTCTGAAACAGTATCCAGCAGCAGATATGGATAACTGGGTCCATAAACTGCTGACTGGAGGGGGTATCGTCACTGCTTTTCTGTAACTATTCATAGGGTCTGCCACCGGACCTGCAGTCCTGCAGGCTACTGAATCACACAATCTCAAATTTCAGTGATATTTAGGCTGGAAACAACAAAATGTTATGATTAACATATGTAAACTCCTGAGAAGACATCCACTTACCTCCTCCTCAATCTCCTCGCCTTCCTCCTCATCTCCTTCCTCATAATACTCATACTCCACATATTCCTCCACAGTTGTTGTCATTTTGGGATGGTTTTAGAGGCTCTACCAAGAACACAGATGACATTTTAAGGCATTATATAACATCTGAATTTCCAAGGTTTGCCCTCATGAGGTGAAAAGCATATCTAATGTGGAAGCATGCAACTAACAGGGTAACAAAGTTAAATAGCAAAATAAACAAAATCTGAATTTCATGCACTATTAAGGGCTTAGACAAGAGACCAAAGGACAACTGCACCAGAGATATTTTAGGACCCTGCCAGCCATCCTCCATACACCTCAAGAGGAAAAAAAAACATGCTAGAAAACCACATTCAGCAGATGTGCATGGCATACCAGCAAAAGATTCCCGCAGTATTTCCTGACAGTAAGGAATCCTCACTTGCCATCCACTGGGGTCTCAAACGTATAGTCCCACTTTGTGATTTGCCCCAATCCTAAACAAAGTAATAAAATGTATGAAACACCTTGCAAACAGGAAGAAGGGCAGATTAGGAGGATGAGACACAGAGTGCATTATAACAGGCCTCTGCCTTTGAATGTGTGAAAGCCAACCCTCCTCCCCCACTTGCCACAACACAGCTCAAAAAACCAAGCCTCCTAGCTGAAGGTTGGCGACAGCTGCCCTACAGTGCTTCAGGTATTTGACATGTAAGCTAATGCCACAGCCTGATTGGTTGACTCGGTTTAGCAAATAGAGATGCAATGCCTTCTGAGGCTGCAGGTTAAATATAGGATGGCATACTAAGTACTTTTTAAGTGCTTGATTGCCATCTCTTTAAAATTTATCTGTAAAACAAGAGAAAGAGGTGAATTAGTTGAGGTAGAAGGACAAAATAGCCCGAGAGGCACTGAGATTTTGGAAAACAAAATGGCCAGGTTGCTGCTGTAACTTCAGGTACTTCCAAAGGTACGTCTGGTCTGATCTTGCCTGAGTCTTGCAGTTCTGAATTATTTTGTTACTCCTCATATGTGTATCAGAGCCTTCACACTCCTTATTCCACAGCCATTCCTCCTGGATCCAGATGGCAGCAGAAGATGGAAAGGATAGAAGTCCAAGCAGATGGAAAACCATGCAGGGTGTGGAAAATATGGATATTTATGCTTTTCTCCTTTCCTTGCTTACCAGTTTTATTAAAGTTTAATGGTCTCCCAAGCCACCAAAGCCTCCCCAGCTTCCCTCCAGAGAAACGCAGGGCAACAGCCCACAGCTGCAGGTTCTACCCAGGTTATCATGTGATCGTCACAGCCAATCACAGACCAGCGCTCTCAAGTTTCAAAATCTAAATATACCTAAGTGATCCTTTCAGAAAAGAGCACCTGTTGAGGCGAATGCATCAGCGGTACAGTTAGAGGAAGGCAGTGGGGCACGCGTGGTGGGGGTCTCAGGAAAACCAGCGTAACGCCCAAATACAACAGTACCACCCTGTCTGTCAGGCTGTGAGCTTGACAAATGCAGCGGTTTCTGTTTCTGGGTTAGTACTTCTGACCCATGGTAAAGATATGAGTATGAGTGAGTGAGGAGAAGGTGAGCTGAAGGCCTGGAAGGGCTGTGAGCATCAGATCTGTTGAGGTCATCGCTTACAGCTGACCCTGAGCTGGCCACGTCCTGTTAAGAACCAGCTCAACATCATACTGAAGATCTGCGAGCCACAACATAAGAAACATGTACATGCCCCCATAAATATGAACCACAAATGACTTGACATATCCCAGATGTCTCTGTATCTGAAAAACATGAACTGTGATACATCAGAGTTGGATTAAGCACATAAATGAATGAGTCACTCTGTGCACATCTTGACCTCTGCTTTGGAATTAGAATTGAGAACATGATCATACATTTTAGACCACTGAAGGCATGGTACAAATATAGTGTGCATACATTTATGAAGTGTTTAGCTTCACAGTGGTAATGACAATTAAACTTAACCTTTGTCCCTTGTATGTTAACAAATCTATAAAACAGTACGACGGCCACCAACAAGTTGGCTCAAGAGGTAATCCAAATATATACGGTCTTCATGTTGTAGAGTCAAGTATAAATTGCATTCAACCTCTCTCAGGACAAGTGAGTGATAACCGGGTCAGAAAAAGCAGTGGAACACACTGCCACGGGAGTTTTAAACAATCCAAGTGCATAAAAAGGAGTATTGATTTAAAAATACATCAAGTGCTATTTCTAGATAACATACACCATCCAGAGACAGCCATGACAGGATTTAACAGCGAGTTACAAATAAAATGAACCCTAAACATATAGATATGTTGACACAGGACCTAAGACAAAAACAGAAAAACTTAACATATGAACAGTATATATATGATGTGCCACTACTTCTCTGGTACAGTATGCCTTATCTCTGCTGTCACTCTTTGAGGGTGCAGGAGCAGGGTGCTACCCAGGGACCAAGATGGACAGCAGCAGCTGATTGTCGCTCTCTCTCCCCTTCTGGAAAGTGGTAATGGCCCTCCGTTCTATGATGCACTGGGAGACTGCTGCTTGGTCCTCTTCACCAGCTCTGCTAACTCTGCAAAACTGAATAAGTAGTCATGTTTTAAAGGGTGACAATCCAAGAATACAAGTCTCGGCCTGCAATGCCAACACTCATTCAATGGTGCCATTTTTTTAACACATAGATTTTTGCCTCCACTTTAATAAACAAGATGGGAATGATATTTTCTCTTTGGAAGTAGCTTTGAAAAATAAATAACACTGAAAAAGCAACATGATCTTCCAAAAACAATGCCCTATTTTTTCTGGATTATGCAGTCCTGACTATAATTTAATGGACGATATGAGGCAAGTGATTTGCTACAGAACTTAATAGATTTTGAGGGACGGGATCTGGAACTGAACACATTTGGAGACACTGAAATTCACTATCATGAAACGGACGATGGCATTGACCCTGAAAAAAACTTTTTCAAGAACCTTGAAAATAACTGCAAGTATTACACAGATGAGCAGTTTAACAGCAATGTCAAGACTGAAAACAAATTATCACTAATTCACTTTAATAGCAGAAGTCTGTACGCTAACTTTCAGAGT